ACATGGGAAAAATGGAGAAAAAACAAGGTGAACTTCTTCTGAAGTTCGTGAGAGAAGTCGCTTCAAATGTTTGATGATAACTACTTCTGAAAACGCCTCCTATATATGATGCTCGCCGGCGTTCCTCGGCAATCACGACGGGTCCCTCCGTCCCAGTTCGGGGCCCATGAGGCCCTGGCGGATCGATCTGCGCTCGAGAAATCTCGCACCAACAAGGTCGATAGCCGGTCGAGATCTTTGACGGCGTCATGCTTGTTCACGACGTCGGATCTCAAGTTGTATCGGGGACCGAGCTTGTAGATGATGTGTTTGCCTTCTTCGGGCGTGGGCAAAAACTTGATGTACCAAACGACCCTTGAGTGAAAACATGTGGACACGACCTGGGGACCACGCCCCGCGGGCGCAGGCCCGCAAAACTGGCGGCTGCACCGACCTCTGAAGAAGCCGACAAGAGCCCTCACGGGCAGATTCGCTCATCGCCTTGGCAAGGCGGGGGTTCTGTCAATCCCCAGCTCTTTTTTAATTTTTGGGGTTTCCACAGGCTGGCTTGCGGCGGCTTTTCGGGACGGACAGAACCCCCTTTAGCAAAACGTGGTTTAGTGAAAAAACGACTTCGGGCCCAAACCTGGCGGGCGCAAGCCTGGAAGATGACGGCGGCGGCGCCCTCTCGAGAACTGAAAACGGACAATTCACTAATCGACGTGTCAGGGTGGGGGTTCTGTCCACCCCCGAGCTTTTTGTCTTGCCTCATCGGGGGGGCCTCCGGAAGCCACTGGGCGCATCCAAGCCTCTCGGCACCTGCAGAAGGGACCTGGGGCGACCCCTGGCGCCCGAACAGGGGCACAATGAGAATCCTCGGGCGCGATGCCTTCGAATCCCCGAGGTCCCAGAGAGGCTTCCGAGGGCGCCTCCGAAGCCTCTGGAGAAAGGAGGCGAACAAAAACGCAGAAAGCGCGATCGGAAACTCAAACCTGGTTCCTCGAAGTTTGCATTCCTCGATCCCTGAGGGCGTGGAGAGAATCCACTGCGGTCCCCCGAGAAGGGTGTAGCTCTCCCAGCGCGACGACGACGGACGATGACGATGGATGGCGATGGACGGCGATGGGCGACGACCGACAACCAGGATGGGGGGTGGCCCTCCAGGCGGTGGCCAAAGAAGCGAGGCCCCCCAGATGCCCTTCGATCCTCGAGCGATCGATCCTCGAACTTCCATCTTTGAAAAACGGAGAGGCTTCCAGAGAGCCAGGATCCTCGAACGATCGGTCCTCGGCCTTCCATCTTTGCAAAACGAAGGGGCGGCGAGAGAGCCGGGGAGCCCGAACGGGCCGCGGACGACCTGACTGCACATCTGCGTCTGCGCAGCAGGAACGAAGGAAGGCGGACGCGGGGGTGAGTGATGGCGGGAACAGACACGCTCAGAACTTTGGAGTCCCGAAGCGGTGCGGTGACGGACCGTGCGGTGACCTCGAAATCCCCCAAGCCCCCACCGCACGGTCCGTCACCGCACGGTTTTGGGACCTCGGAGGCCCCTGTCGCCCGAGACGTCCTCGGAGAACGACCCGAGTCCCAGAACCGTGCGGTGACCCCGAATCCCCACCGACTCACCGCACGGTGGGGTCACCGCACCCTTCGGGGGCCCCCGAAGAACATGAAGAGCTTCACGTGCGGTGCCGGCGGCCCCAGGCTCCGTCAAGGAGTCGTGCCAGGTAGGCTGCACCTGGGCTGACCAGGGAACTGCGAGCAAAAATGCTACACCCGGGTTTTGCGAATCTTCGGCCTCCGGGGGCCCTCCCTGTGCCCTGGCTGCGCCCCCAAACCAACGCCAGGACGAAACGTCTGTCCTGAAGAGGAGGCCGGGACCTCCACGGACTTCTTTTTTGGCACATCGTGGGCCAGCCAACGGACGGCTTCTCATCGGGAGTCGGTTTTGGTGGCCGTCCTGCACTCTCATCCGGACGAGGACCCCCAGAGGCCGCAAATTGCAGCAGCAACAGCAACAACGTCCGCCGTGATTTCCTCAGATCATGCCGTGCGGGAGCCTTGGCAGGTGCCCAGACGCAGACGTCCGGCGCCTCGGAACAGCGAAGCGTCCTGTTTCTCCACTTGGGGCCCCCGGAGGTCGGTGTCGAGCCCCGGGACCGTCAAAACCGGCTCGGGATCAACGACTGGCCCAGGGAAGGGGTCGAGAGGTCATTGGGCCCACGCGTCAAAGCATCGGAGCGCGGGAGAGGGCGGACCCAGACATCTGGGTGTTCCTTTTCGCCACGGGGCCCTCGAAGTCCCGACCCTTTCCCCAGGCCCGCCCGGCTTTTTCATCCTGAGTCGTCTTTGCCCGTCCCGGGGCCTGGGGCTCGTTGACGGAGGCCGCGACCAGACAGAAAGTATGTGTTTTTGCGTGTGTCGGGACGCCGCGGGAAAAAAAAAAAAACACATCGCCAAACATCACGACCAAGGGCTCCCAACTTCGCGCTTCGCGCTGCGCGAAACGCGAAGTGCGAATAACTTCGCGCTCTCGCGCCGCCCCCCCCCAAAGGGAGAAAAGGAGGACGAGGAGGGGGAGAAGGAACGAGGACAGCGAAGAGCGAAGCGCGAATCACTTCGCGCCCTCGTGGGAGCCCTTGACGACCAAAGCCGTCGATGCCACCTCCCTGCGGCATCTCGAGAGCCAGCTCGAGCCGCGAGGGCCCCGCGGCCCGCGCCGAGCGGAGTGGCCCAGCACGGCAAGACGGCGACGTCAAGACCTCAGAGGATGTCCGGCGGGCATGCGGCATGAAGCCATCGGGTCCTGGCGTTCAGTCGGGCCTGTCCCCCTGCAGGGGGTCTTCGACGAAACATAAAAAATATACCACGAGTAATCCAAACATAGTCCAAACATAGTCCGGGGACTATTTTTTGAGTATTTTTTGACCTTTTGGGGGTATTTTGGGGGTACCTTTTATTTTTCGTCGAAAATCCCCCTGTGGGGGGACAGGCCCGACCTGATCCTGGCGGAAACGGGTTCTCGATCACAGGGCTTATCCCTGTGACCAGCTTGTCATATTATGAATGATTTTGTGGACGGTCTCGGGGCCTGAGGAGGGCCACGGGAGCTCGAAAGCACTGAAGATTCTCCAGAGCCCGTTTCCCTCAGGACCCGCTCGCTTCACGGCGAGCCTGGGGACCCTGACAGCCACCGCCAGTATGCTTTGTTCAATCCGCGGCCCCAGAAGTCCCGACCGCTTCCCTGAGGGTAATTCATGTTTTGTCCCGGGACAATGTTTGATGGTCCTGGGGCCCGATGATGGCTCCCGAGCGCCGAAGTCTAGAAACAAATCAAGCAAAGAGAACGCTGGCTGCAAAGGCAATGGAAATCTGAGGAGGTGGCCTTTCAGGACGTGCCAAGTTTGTTCGTGACGTCGGCCCCCAGGGATTCGACTACTTCTCCAAGGCACGATTTCCATCCTGCGCAACTTTTTGACTAGAGGCCTCGCAGATGGGGTCGAAGTAGATGGGGTTGGAGGGTCGCGCCGCATCGCTGGCGCATCGCCGATGCATCGGCGATGCACTGGCGACGTCGGCGATTCATCGGCGACTTCGGCGTGGAGAAAATCGGGCACCACATCGAGCCGCATCGCCGATACATCGGCGATGCGGCGCGATCCTCCGACCCCATCTGCTCGGACCCCATCCAGGATGCGAAGAGAAACCGCCTCCAGAGGAGCAACACAAGGACAAACTTGGAGGGGAAGACAACAGGGACCATGACCAAGACTGAACGCGGAAACGTCGTGCCGATCTTGGTCACCGTCGAATCTTGGTCAGCGCCAGTATGTTCATCATCCTCGCGAATCGGCGACGGCCGACATGGACCATGACCAAGATCAACATCGGCAGGATACCGCGACATTCTGGTCATGGTCCCCGTGCTTCTTCCCTCGAAAACTGGCCGGGCCGCGATGCTTTGCCGCCGCCCCGGCCCGAGGGGTGGCCCCTGCTCGGACCCCATCCAGGAGGCCCAGAGCAACGGCCTCCATCGGCGGTGGACAAACCTCCCTTTAGTAGACCACCCTCTAGTGAAAACGGCCCAGGACCGAAACCCACGGACCTGGACCCGCAAGAGTGGCGGCCGCGACGCCCTCTCGCGCACCGAAAACGGCCAATTCACTGATCGACGTGCCAGGGTGGGGGGTCCGTCCACCCCCGACTCCAGAGGCCGAACACGAGGACAACCCGCTCGGACGTCCCATCATTTCTCGGTTCCATGCGTGTTTTGTTCGCTCGATGGCCCAGGATGGTCCTCGATGGTTCTCGCCGAGGAAAAAAAATTCGGCTACACGCAAGAGTGACCCTGGGTAATCTTAAGAGTGACCTTTCGTGCGCGGCTTTTTGGGGGCCGCGGGGAGACCAAACCTGGGCGCGCAAGCCGCTGCTACTGCTTCGATTTCAGCCATCTGAGGGCCCACCTGTGCCCGCACCACCGGTCACTCCGGCGAAAAATCACACTTACGTATATTTGGACGCCCGAAATGGACACGGAAAGAATGGGTACAATGCCCAACAACAAATGTTGTCCCAAACCAACAGCGGCCGCTGTTGGGCAGGCGGCCTCCTGTCTCAAATGGACACAGGCCGCGTCGGCGCGGACAGCGAGTCCTGTTCAAAATGAACCGGCACTGCTGTTGGGCATTGTACCCATTCTTTCCCTACCGTTTTCGTTCGTGCAGAGCCTAGTCGAAACATGCACACGTCCGAGCGACGCCAAGACCTGGCCGCCGCGAGCCTTCTGCTGCCGCGCCGCCCGGGCCCAGGATGGTCCTCGATGGCCCAGGATGGTCCTCGATGGCCCAGGATGGTCCTCGTGTTTTTGTCGCTCGATGGCCCAGGATGGTCCTCGATGGTTCTCGCCGAGGAGACCTGCACACGTCCGAGCGGCGCCAAGAGCGACCTGGCCGCCGCGAGCCTTCTGCCGCCGCGCCGCCCGGGGCCCGACGGGGGGGTGGCCCCCCCTGCAGCGCGCGTGCCTGCGCCGCGGGCCCGGGCGCCGGCGCGGAGCCGCCCGCCGGCCAGTCTCCTGCGGCACGCGGCCTCTGCGCCGCCCCTGGGGCGTGCCTTCTCTCCTCCTCCTCCTCCTCCTCCTCCTCCTCCTCCTCCTCCTCCTCCTCCTCCTCCTCCTCCTCCTCCTCCTCCTCCTCCTCCTCCTCCTCCTCCTCCTCCTCCTCCTCCTCCCTCTCCAGTCTGGAGGCTCTTCCTGGATTTCGGCCTCTGAGGCCCTGAACGGTGTTTGGGCGATGTCGTTTCGGCTTCGTTTTGCGGCAGAGGTGGATGGACAGCAAAACGGGGGAACACGAAAACAGAACGAAGACGAAAAACACCGTTCAGGTTCAGCCCTGCCCCACGGCATGCTTTTCGGTGTCGCGCGTGCGTTTTGTTCGGCGAGATGGTCCAGGATGCTCCTCGAGGGTCCTCGCCGAGAGAGAAGAAGCACACGTCCCCTACGGCATGCTTTTCGGTGTCGCGCGTGCTTTCGGTTCGGCGGGATGGTCCAGGATGCTCCTCGATGGTCCTCGCCGAATGAAGAAGCACACGTCCGAGCGGTGCCCCAAGGGATGGGTCCACGGCAGGGCCGAGGGCGACGGTCGGGCACTCTTGCAAGCGGATAGAGTGCCGCTCCACTCCGCGGGGCGGGAGGCTCGGGAACGCTCGGGACATCGACGCTCGAGAGTGGAGAAGCGGATAGCGTGTCGCGCCGAAGCGCGGTGGGACAGCAGTCGAACCCTGGCCACGAGAACGCGGGACCCCCCACATCCCTTCGTCGCGAGGAATCACGACGGGAGTTGTGTGGCCATTTTCGGCATCCAGAAATCTTTACCGGTCCTGGGGAAGTGGTCCAGACCGCTAAGGGTCGACTTGGCAAAACATGCAAGCTGTCGGAGTTCTGGGCCACGAACATGAGCCCCTTCGCCGAACGTCCAGGGCCCCATGGAGGTATCCAAACGAAGAGCAGTGCAAGGTCGAGAGTCCCAAGCACCCGGGGAATGTGCCATGGGACGAGCCAGGGGACGTGGTGGTGGACGCGCCAGGAGGCGTGCCAAGGGAAAATCGCCATGGGACAGACAAGGGATCGTGCCGAGGGACGTGCCATGGGACGCGCCACGGGACGCGTCCGGGGACGCGCCAGGGGACGCGCCACGGAACGGGCAGGGAGGGGACGTGCCACGGGACGCGGCACTGAGCACGCCAGGGGGACGTGGCAGTGGACGCGCCAAGGGGCGTGACAAGGGAGAAGCGCCAGCGGACAGACCAGGGAACGTGCAAGGGGACGTGCCATGGGATGCGCCACGGAGCGTGTCAGGGGACGTGCTGGGGGGCGCGCCACGGAACGGGCAGGGAGAGCGCCAGAGGACGAGCCAAGGAACGCGTCGGAGACGAGTCAGGGGACGTGCCACGGGACGCGCCACCGAACGCGCCAGGGGACGTGGTCGTGGATGCGCCAAGGGGCGTGCCAAGGGAGAAGCGCCAGCGGACTGACCAGGGATCGTGCCAAGCAACATGCCATGGGATGCGCCACGGAACGTGTCAGGGGACTCGCCGCAGATGCGCAATCCAGAGGACGTGCCAAGGGACGTGCCATGGAACGCGCCAGGAGACAAACCATGGGACGACCCACCATGATCCGGAAAGTCTTCTCCGCTGGGTCCGTGGCTTCAGCTCCTCCTGCCCCGACGGCTTCAACTCATCCTCCCTGGAGCTCCGCAGGGCGGGACTCCGCTCGAGACTTCCCCGCTTCACTAACGAATGGAGCCCTCGCCCGAGACATCCTCAGATGCTCGCGCACAGGCGAAAAGAACCCATGTCAAGACACATGGCTTCGGCTCACGGGCGAGATGAGCCCACGATGAAGCACATGGTTTGAGCTCACAGACGAATGGCACCCATGTAAACACACGTGGCTCCAGACACAAATGTGAAAACGCGTGGTGTCAGCTCGCGGGCGAACACAAATTATGTAACGAAAATCTGGCTTCTGCTCGTTGGCGAAAGGAGTCCCTGTACAAGCACGTGGTATCAGCCCAAGTGCGACAGGAACCCGCGTGAACAAAGCACACGGCCGCCCTGAGATCCGACGTCGCGAAAAAATACAACACCGTCCAGAGTCACGCCCCTCGGCACCATCTTCCTGCGGCATCTCTCGAGCCGGATCGATCCGTCAGGGGGTCCCGAATCCGGGCGAAATGGCTCAGTACGAACATGGTGACGCCTGGTTCTTAAGCCTGATGGGGGAACGATGCTTTGGGGGTGGGGGTAAGGCATCGAGCTTGAATCGGCGATGCATCCCCGATGGATCTGAGATAGACCCCCGATGGCAGATCCGCACGTTCCCAGGCAGGGTGGGCCATCAGGGTCCCGTCGGCGATGAATGGGCGATTGGGGGCCGATGCATCTCTTATCGCTGCCCCTATCCACCCCTATCGTTGAAGGCAGAGGGATAGAGGGAGATTGGGATCGGGGCGACAGGGAGCGAAGGATGGGATGAAGAGATGGGGAGGAGGACGCTCCCGCGTCACCCCCTCCTCCAACACTGATCCCCATCGCTGAGCCACTCCGCCCCTGTCGCTGCCCCGAAAGGCCAATTGCAAGCTTTGTGGGTGCCACGACAATGGACACCCTCACAGTCCTATCATTGAATTTGAAATATGTGTAAAATGTCGGGGAAAATGCTCTAAACATGTTGTAAACCTGTTATATATAATAAATGTTTAACGCATGTTTTAGACATCTGGAAATGATTTGGCAACATGCCTCCTCTCCATTGATCGTCCTCCACAATGCAGGCCGCTCTCTGGCTACGGCGGAGGGGCCCGCGGGCGCCCCGGTCTCCAGAGAGCAGGTCGACGGGGTCGGGGTCGGCGGCCGCCGGCGGCCCGGCCTGCCGGCCGGCGGTGCTCAGAAGGGGCTCGAGGATCGAGGCTCGAGGTTCGATGTATTCTTCGGGACCGAGGCACGAGGACCAGGGCTCCGGCCCACGTGGGCCTCCTGGACGTCCGTCGCGGCCACGGCTGGACGCAGCTCGAACAACTGGCCAAGACGGGCCCAAGAACGGATCTGGGGGCTGGTCTTTTTTTTTCTCGGGGTCCGCTTGGAGGTCCCTTTGGGCAAGTATCGTGCTGCGAGTCCGCCACATGCTTGTGTAGCAGGTACGCCGCGCCCGAGCCCCATTTAAGCTGGCGTCTCCTCGCCCAAGCGCCCGGAGACATGCTGAGACACTGACGCCGCCGTGCCCGAGGCCCCCGACGCCGCCGCGCCGCGGCAGACACGAGAGAGGCCACGGCTCCGCCGTCGACCACACAAGGTCTGCCGCGACGCGGCCCGGCGGCAAGGCGGCCCGTCGCCGCCGAGGCGGCAGGGCGCTGCCAAACGTGACAGCGTGGAGCGGCCCGGCGGCGCTGGATCGGTGGCAAGAATGCGAGGCGGGGGTTCATCCAAATCCACCGCCTGGGGCGCAAAAATGGATCCTCCGGGCGGCGGTCATGTACAAATCCCGCCTCGGAGGGAAGAGCACTGAGCTTATGTACAGACCTGCTCTTCGCGGTGTGCAGACATTCTCCGCTCTCGAGAACATGGGTTTCTGCTATTGAGCGCACTGCGGGCCGAGCGTCCTGGTGCTGGGAAACCCTGTAACACCACGCGCCTTCCATCCCGCCTGGAAGACTGGAGCGCTGACTCCACAGAAGGGGGATGGCTGGGCGAGGAGCTGCTGCGCCAGCGGCCAGGAGAGAAGCGAGGAGGCAGGAGGAGGAGTATGGAGATGGAGCAGAAACGGGCAAGCGAGGCTGAATGTTCTACACACAGAAAGTCGCTGTACAGAAATGGGTTGTATTACCTACGATTTTGAGCCTCCTGAAAAAAAATGCGCCCAGTGCAAACTGTGTCACCAAAACGCAACGGCGAGGTCATCGCAAGGAGGATTGAAAGGGACGTCTCATAAATTTCAGCAGCCATCGAACTCGTCAATCAATTCCCAATTTGCTCAGAGTGCGTGCCAACTGCCCAAATCCCCACCAACAGTGCGATTGGAATGAGCGGTTGGTCTGTCATATAACGGACGATCCACGAGGCAACAGCCGTCATTGTCATGCTGCCTGCCTTCTCCCTGTATCCCTTAGGTTCGTCATGAAACGGCCAGATTTGAATTTCTTCCAGCTGTACGTACATAGTTATCCTGAGAGAGCTCCACAAGAGTTCGTCAATCTGGGTCACGAAGGCAACAGCCACGGAGTTGAGCACAAGACTTTCAACGTCTGGCGACAGGAATATATACATTCCTCCTACCCACATTACCAGCAAAGGTAGGATAAAGCTATCCAAGACAATGACGATGAATTTGACGCATTTGAACTGGTGGGCAATTGCCATCTGTTCTGTGAATGCGGCGTCAGGCGCATCGAGAGATGCATCAGGACCCAGTCCTTGCCTGTCTTCCTGTTCTTGGTGGTGGTCCTGCCCTTCGCCCTGTCCTTGGTCCTGCCCACCTGCCAGTCGTTCCAACTGAGATTTTTCTAATGATCTTGCATCCGTTCAAAATCGACAGGGCGGTGTTCAACAAGTGGAGGAAAACAGCCGTTAGAATCAATCCCAATGGGGGTGAAGTATCGCGATCGTACTCACACATATCGTGTATGTACCAAAGAAGCATGCCCTGTATCCACCATGAGACAAGCGTGGCGACGGTGACCTGTGCCCACATCCGAACATCATCTTCTGGTCCCAATCCCAGAACTGCTCCAGTGGTTCCGAAGTCGAGCGGGTTCATAGTGTAGTCTGGCATCGGGACGACGTCACACACACAAGTTCAAATCCAAAACTTGTTTCTAGCAAGGGTTGCTTGAGGCTCGCTTCCTTGAGCCAAATAGCTTGAGCCAAAATGGCTTGAGCCAAAATCGCTACGGAGGATCTGGGGGCTGGTCTTGGCCAGGCTTGCCGGGGGGGGGGGGGCGCAGGGGGCGGCCTTCTGACAAGGCAGGCAGCTTCTTGGAAAGGCTCGGAGGCTTCGGGGCGGGGGTGGCGCGAGGCGGTGGGCCTTCAGAAGGCCCAGAAGTTCTGGGAAGGCAGGGTGGCTCCTTGGAAGGGCTCGGAGGGCGCTTTGAAGGAAAGGAAAAGGGGGGCTGTCAAGAAATCCTACAGTCACAATCCACAGCAGACTGCAAGGCCAGGGTGCAAGAATTTTGGGAATTGTCACACTTCACCATGTAGAATTCCTTGGACGTTAACATTGGCTGAGGATGGGCCGACGAAGGAGGGACGCAAGGGCCACTGCTTCAGAAGCAACGGGTCACTGGGATTGACGAAACCAAGGATGCGCTGCTTCAGAAGCAGCGCATCCTTGGTTTTTGACTGTGCACACCTTCTCTCACAGGGCCGGTGCGCTCGCGCCCCCCCTCCTTCCAGCGCGCCGCCGACGAGAGGGGCGAAAAGTAACCGCCCAGCGCGCGCGTGCGCGTGACCGGCCTCGGAACACGGGCCACGCCCCCAGCGCGCGGGCTGCCCGAGCACAGGTGCCTGACGATGGCGGCGACGACGGGGAAGACCAAGGCTAGAGGCCTCCCAGCCTGGGTCCGAATAGACGGGGTCGGAGGATCGCGCCGCATCGCCGATGAATCGCCGATGCATCGGCGCTGCAATGACGACGTCGGCGATGCATCGGCGCCATCGGCGTGGAGAAAGTCGGGCTCCACATCGAGCCGTACTGGAGGTTCAACAGTCCTGTCAGATTCGAAGGGCTTCGTATAGCTGAACAGCCCGAGGACCCGCAAGCACGCCACCGCCATTTAGTGTAAAAACATTCGTTTTGCATGTCATTTGGTCGGGATGGAGCGGAAGTCGACTTGAATAGCAATGGGCCACCCCCTGAGAAAGCTCTTGAGCGAGGTCGCGTTGAATTCGGAGCTGGCGCCGCACCAGAACGCGCCGCACTGGGGGGGAGGGGGGGGCGCGGTTCCACGTGCCGACAGAGTCGATGCTGACTGCGGGATGCATGGCTTCACCGGCTTGCAGGGCGCGCTCGATGGCAGCAACAGAGTCGGAGATGTCCTTGTTGAGCGCTTCGGAAAGGTAAACACGTCGTTTAACTTCAGCAACGTCGCGTTCGCATTGGTGTCGGCTAGCGAACTCGGCGGTAGTCTTGGTAATGGCAGCGATGAACCGAACTTGGGCGTCAGAAGTGACATCACTTCTTCTTTTTTGGGGGGGAACCGCGGCAGCGGCGTCGACTTGTCCGTGTAGTACATCTTGAAGTACTTCACGATCGTCGGTTGGGATACGTGCGGCAGCAAATCTAACAGCGCCCGCTGCCCATTGGTCGAAGCCGTGGTGATGTTTGGGTCCAACAGGCCATTCGTTTCCGTTTCCTCCAGGTAGTACCTGAGGTCCTGCGAGAAGGATCGCCTGCGCCGCTCCTTGAGAAAAGCCCCCCATGGTAACTCAGCGAAATACAAGGATGGGAGGGCCGCGCAACCCGTGGGAGCGAACGCGTCGACATGGATGGAAAAGAAAACAAACTCCTGACCGTGCCTCGGACCAGCGGTATCCGCGGAAAGCCAGCGGGCGCTGCGCCTGCACACGTGAGGTCTTGAGCCAAAAGTGGTTACGGTGAAATGGGGGGAAGGGGAAACGAAAGTGCGTCGGCTCTAATGAAGGCACTCCTGGGCAGGCTCGAAGAACAGGCCCATCGGAGGCCGAAGTCGAAAAATAATTCCGGCGGATCGAAGGTCGTCGAAAAGGCTCCGACGTTTCGAGCGGCCGTTGAGGGAGAAATGAAGAAGACGGCCTGTGTACCTGGGCCCTGGGTCCGCTGCCTTCACGCCGGGCGCCTTGAGAAGCGCGAGAAGCGCTGGTGGTCGCGCCCTCTCGCCACGGCCTTGGGATGATATAGCCCAGGCGCGCAAGGCATCTTGGATCGCGCGCGCACTCTAGCCAAGCTAGACAGGCAAGATCTGGGGATCTCAACGGTTCAAGGTCTTTCTTTCGCACGGAGGCTTTAGCGCAGGGTCACGCGGCAGGCTCGGGAGCGCGTAGAATAGGGAAGGGTGGGAACGGACAAAGTATACATTTGCTCATCAGACGTGGTCGGTGACAGAGGGCTCTCGGGACATCGGGACTCTCAGATCCCCCTTATTTCCCCAAAGTAAGCTTCGAAGAGGTTCGCGGGGGACCTCCCGGGCCGAGAACGCGAACATCTCTGGAGAAAACCAAATGAAGTCAGCGGTCTCTCAGGCCGTTGTCGGGTCGGCTCTCGGAGGTCTCCATGAGCTTTTCGTAGACGCATTTGAAATATATTCCGAATTATATACTTTGATAAGGCCGGGGGCCCCGGACAGACCCCGGACGGAGCCCCCCCCAAAACGAGTTTCGGGCTTCCCCGAGATTTTCGGGCGGTCCCAGAGGCGCCCCAGACGGCCCGAGATACTCCCAAGAGGGGTCCACGAGCGCTCCAAGACCGCCCAAGAGCGCTCCAAGAGACCCCAAGACAGCCCAAGACCGTCCAAGGGAGCCCCGAGACGCCCCAAAAGGCCTCCAAGAGGCTTCCCCAGAGGGCCCCAAAAGGGACATCTCATTGATTTTTGTATGGTTTCCAGAGGTTATCCTGGCTCTCCCTTTTTCGGGCCAACATCATCCCGAACCGGCCCGAGAGGCTCCAAAGATCGCCCCAGGACAACCCAAGAGGCCCCCCAAAGAGCCCGAAAACGGTCCAAGAGAGTCCCAAGACAGCCCAAGAGGGCTCCAAGACGGGCCCAAGAGAGCCCAAAGAGCGCCCAAAGAGGCATCCGAGAGGGCCCCAAGACGCCGCCAGGAGAGCCCCACGACGGCCAAAGGCTTCAAAGACGCCCCAAGACGGCCCAAAAAGGGCCCCGAGATGACCCAAGAGAACCCCGACGGGGCCCTAAAAGGGATCCAACAGGGCCCCAAGAAGACCCCCACGAGGCCCCACAACGCTACATAACACCAAGGCTCCCAACGCTGAGCTTCAATGGCACCCCCAGAAGCCTTCCAATATTTCTTGTCGTCAATCCTTTTTTTCTTCGTTTCCCTCCTTCTCTTTCCCGTGATCCTCCTGTTCCTCCTCGTTCTCTGTATGCTCTCTGCTCCTCCTCCTCCTCCTCTCAGCCTCCTCCTCCTCCTCGTATGTTTCGCTCCTTCTGTTCCTCCTCTTCCTCTTCCTCCTCCTCCCCCTCCTCCTCCTGCTCCTCTTCATGTTCCTCTTCCCCACTCCGTCGAGGAAAGGATAGGGACTGGAAGACATGGTCAGGTCGACAACCACGAAAACGGCAACAAGGCGTTATCGCTTTCTTTACCGATGTACATATCTGTCATCCCGCCTGCTTGCTCAACTTGATGGACTATGGTAGTCTGGCCACTTTCGCCTGAGACCCTCGCACCTTTGAGTTGCGAGATGCCCGGAGCAGCTGGTCAGGCCACCACCGCCTGAGATGCGCATGCGTATGCGCACACATAGTTACACATACCATTTGCATATACATGTACATACCCATACATACGTCCATATATATGTACATACGCAATCTGCTTCCATAGGCGCATGTGTGTGCGCATGTACGCGCGCACGCATTCCGCTAACGTGCGAAACTCTAAAAGGACCAAGGTGCATGGCGCGCAGAGTCAATGCAGTTTTGTGTATATATATGTATATATATATGTATATGTATATACATATGTGTATATATATGTATATACATGTATATACATATGTGTATATATGTTTATATATGTATATGTATATACATACATATATATATATATAGATTCGGCAATCCTGGGAGCCGGGAGCGCCGGCTGAAGGCTGTCTTGCGCGGGGGTTTCTTCAGAGTCTTCGAGCGATGGAGAACTCCAAGCGCTAGGAAGCGGAAGAACAACAAAATCCTGGAAAACCCTCGATATTACTCTCTTCGGGCCCCTCTCGGGCATTTCTCGGAGTGGTCCTCGAGCGTCGCGGGCCGTCCTTTTAGATTGTGCCGGCTGCTGGTGAACGTCTGCGGGGCTTCTGGAAAGTTTCGGGGCCCAGGTGGGAACCCGGGGGCAAGGCTCTGGGCGCCAGGGATGAACTGTCAATCTTGGATCGTCTTCTTGTGATTGGGCTCGTGAGAACGCGCTCTTGGAGTGCCGTTGGGCCTTCCTGGGCTCGAGTTGGGCTGTGAAGGCGGTTTTGGTGGGCGTTCTGGGCCTGTCTTGTGGCGTCTGCCGGCAAGTGAAACAGGCGACGTTGGAAAGCGTGGGGAAGCAGCGGGAAGCGTTCTCCGTGGCCGCGACGCCGCCCACGGCGCCGCGGCCGCGAGCCGCGGAGCCAAAAACTGGCTGCGCCGCAGGTCCACGCGGAAGGCGCGAAAGGTGCGTCGGAGAGAAGGCGGGTGAAAGAGCAGGCTGCAGAAAACGAGCATTTAAAACACGGGGATCTGAAGAATTCCCGCTTGACAAGAAAAAACTTAGGAATCCTTTTTTTGTTCTCAAAGCAGGTTTCGAAGAGGTCTGTGGGAGACCGCCTGGGCCGAGAACACGACAATCCTTGCCAAAACCATGGTGGAGTCAGCGATTCTGGGCTCGCCGGCCGTTGTCTGGTCGCCTCTCGGAGGTTTTCTGGGGCGGTTTGGATGCATGTTCGGGGGAACTTCGGTGATCCTGGGAGCCAGCAGTGCAGGCAAAAAGGCTGTCTTTGGCGTCTTGGCCCGTCCTGGAGCGGTGTGGGGCCTGCCTGGGAGTCCGAGGAGCGCATCTCGCCCGCCGGTTCCAGGCGGTCTAGAGCCTTCTTCAAAACATCCGAACGGTAGTAAATCCAAAACGCGGGGAAGCGAACAACCTTTAAAAAACCAATGAAAACCTTCGAGCCTCTCTCGGACACCTCTCGGAGGCGTCCTCGAGCGTCGTGGGTCGTCCTTTTAAATTCTGGCGGCTGCTCGCGGGCGTCCGCGGCTCTTCTGAAGCGTTTTGGGGCCTATGTGGGGGGCCGGGAACGCGGTGCCGGGAGCGTAATCCAGATGTCACTCGGGGGTCCTCTGACCCGGGTCAATCCAGACCCGGGTCAGTCAGGCCTTGCAGAGTCCTGCAAAATCCGGGAAAATCCTGCACCTAAACCCGGGTCAATGCGAAGGATCCTGCAAGATCCTGCAGGATCCTGCACCCAAACCCGGGTCAATGCGACCCTGGCCCTGCAGGATCCTGCAAGGTCGGGGCGCTCTGGCTGACCCCCGTTTGCGTTGACCCCCGTCCCAAGGCTCCCGAGTCACCGAGGTGGAGGACGCCCCGGGAGGGGGCCCAGCCTATTTGTGTATGCTATAGTCGCATGCACATGTGTGTATATGTATACAGACATATCTAGACACATGTAGACATAAACATATACATGCACGTATGCGTAGACATATATATATATATATATATATATATATATATATATATATATGTGTATACGTATACATACACACTACATAGATACACCTACGTATGCATATGAGTACGCGACAACATAAATATACCCAGATAGCTTTATGCATATACATATCAACAAACTAGAACCATCGCGCGCGCTTCGCGCGCGCTCAGGTTCTGGCCCCAGGCCTTGACGAATTCACTGCCCCAATGAAGTAGTGGACCACAGTCCACGCATGCCAAGCTGCATTCCGAGCTCCCACCCTCTTGGGCTCCTCTTGGAGCCATCTTGGAGCTCTCCTGGGTCGTATTGGGGACCTCTTGGGGTGTCTTGGCCCCCTCTCGGGACGTCTTTGGAGCCTCTTGGGCCCTTTTTGGACTCTCTTGGGGGCCTCTTGTACCGTCGTCACCGCTGTGAAGACCGACAAATCGTAGATGCTAAGAATATACTTGTTTGTCCTATGCAAAATCAATGATTGTGGCCTCTTGGGACCCTCTTGGAAAGCCTCTTGGGGGCCTCTTGGGGCGTCTTCGCGGTCTCTTGGGCACTGTGAGAACCGTCTTGAGCGTCCAAGGGCTAGCTTTGAGCGCTCCCGAGCCGCCATGGAACGTTTTGGGAGCCTCATGGGGCCCTCTGGCCACGCCTTGGCCGCCCCTCGGGCTGTCTTGGGCCGTGTTGGTAGCTTCTTGGGGCCGTCTTTGGGGCCTCTTGTGCCGTCGTGCACGCCGCGAAGACCGGAAAATCATAGATGCTGGTTTTGGCCGCCCGGGGCTCCCTTGGAAAGCTTCTTGGGGCGTCGTAGCGGCCTCTTGGGCTCCATGGGAGCCATCTAGGGTGTCCAGGGGCGATATTTGAAAGCCCTGGGGCCGTCTTGGACCGATTTGGGAGCCTCTTGGGGCTCCGTGGACACGTCGTGGCCGCCTCTTGAGCACATCTTGGCCGCCTCTGGGGCTGTTTTGGGCTCCTCTTGGGCCGTGTTGGGAGCCTCTTGGGCCGTCTTGGGGCCGTCGTGGGGGCCTCTTGTACCCTTGTGCACGCCGTGAAGACCGAAAAGACGTAGATGCTAAAAATGTACGTTTTCCTTTGCAGAATTACTGATTTTGGCCGCTTGGGGCTCTCTTGGAAAGCAACTTGGGGCGTTATGGCGGCTTCGTGGGCCCAATGGGAGCCATCTTGAGCGTCCAGGGGCGATCTTTGAGCGCCCCGCGGCCGTCTAGGACCGGTTTGGGGGCCACTTGCGCCTCCCAGGGCACGTCTTGGCCGCCTCTTGGCCCGGACAGGAGCGCTCCCGGAGCCCCGGAGCGGCCATGGGGGGCGCAGGTACCGGCCTGGCGGCCCCGATCCCCTTCCGCCGGCATGCATATATATATATAGATAGATAGATAGAGATATATGCATGTATAAAGATGTATGTATGTATGTCTGTCTGTATGTATGTATGTACGTACGTACGTACGTATGTATGTATGTATGCATACACACATACATACATATGCACAGACATAGGCATAAACATGTGCATTCACATACACACATGCATTTGCAGACACAAACATATCGACATATACACATTTACATATGTAAGTATCCATATACACACCCATACCAGTATACACATGAGCATACACGCGCATATGCATACAACTATACATATACACATACATATGCATATATATACATGTACATATATGCATTCATGTATGTATACGTGTGCAGTATAATGTATCCATGTGTATCCATATGTATCCATATGGATACATGCATTTTCCACATATATATGTATATACAGAGAGAGAGAGAGAGAGACATCTTCCTCCTCCTCCTCCTCCTCCTCTTCCTCTTCTGGGGGGAAAAGAAAGTACGGATATCGCTGATATCGCTACTCCCCGGACCTATCCCGGGTGCGTTCTGGACAGAATTTTGAAGAATCCAGCCGTGGCGACGAGAGCTCTCCAGGACGAGCAGCGCTATCGGCACATTCTCCTCCCCTGATCCTCCCCACTCATCCCTCCTTCCCCCTCTCCTCCCGCGCCACCAGCACAGCTGGGGCCTCTGTGGGACTCGGCCCGGACAGCCAGTCCACGGGCGCCTCGACGACGGGCAGCGCGGGGACCGCGGGGCGCTGACGCGCCGCCGCCGCCTTCCGGGCGCCGATGACGACGACGCCGACGACGACAACGCCGACCCGAACGAGGGTGGCGCGCGAAAGCGTGGCGGCGGCGTTAGCGACGACGGCGACCAAAAAAAACACCGGGATGTAAAAGACATTCCTGGGTAAAGGGTCGAGACCTCGGGACGACGAACGAATTCGACCTACCACCCCAAATCTGCCACCGTGCTCTGAGGCACAAGTTAGAGTGTCCCCAGGTCCCTTCGGATTCTCTGCATAAGATATTGCACATATTCTGTAATAGGCCCACAGCTCGGAGTCCCGGGCGCTCCTGGGGGTTCGTCGCGTGACTTTCCCAAAGGCCAAGAGCGCGCTGTTCGGGACATGCGTGTCCAACATGACCTAAGATGGCCCCGAAGACCTTCCTCCTGGGCCGTCTTGAAGCCCTGGATGGCGGCACAGGAGGCAAAATCGTCAACATCCATTGGCTATGGTTTTAGCATTACCACCATTGTAATGCTTCTTTTAAACCTCTCGGCGGTAAGTGACTTCTGCTGCGAGACGGGCCCTGAGAGTACACCACAGACGCGAAAGAAGGGAGGAGGAGGGAGGAGGGAGGAGGGAGGAGGAAGGAGGGAGGAGGGAGGAGGTAAGCAGCATGAGCAGGGCGGGAGGAGAGGGGGGAGCTTGTGAAAAGGAGGAGATCAAAGGAGGGCGAAGGAAAAGTAAGGAGTAGAAGGACTGTAATGTAGCGCTCATGCCCTTAAGGGTAGACGAACCCCTTTCTACGTCGGGTGAGGCGCATGGGCCTTCCCATCCTTGACCGTCGATGCCGGTGAAAGTGGGGAAGTCCCACCTCCATTCTGCATCTCCTGTTGTTGCTCTCGCGTTGGCTATGCGGAACAGTGCTCGCGCGTCGGCACGTCCCGTCCGCAGCCCCCTATGCCAGGCGGGGCTGCGGGACCAGTCGGCCTCTAGCGTCGTTGTAAGGCGTGGCCCCAGAAGGGGGCGAGAACAACGAACAACAGCCCCTGATAAGGATGTTGTGGCATCTCACGGGCATGTTGGGCCTGGGAAGACGGCGCTGACCGCCGCCTCGGCACCCGTGGGGCACAAGGGGGCGGGATCGGGCAATCGCGGCTCTCCTTCTCCTCCTCCTCCTCCTCCTCCTCCTCCTCCTCCTCCTCCTCCTCCTCCTCCTCCTCCTCCCCCTCTTCCTGCTCCTCCTCTCAAGCCTAGCGCTGAAACGCGGGGGCCGCAACATGCCTGCGACCACCACGGTGCGACTACGACCGCCAAGCGGCGAGGCAAAACGGAAGCTGCCAGTAACACACTCGCCTGCGAATGCCACGCGTACACACGCTAGCATGTCATACCCTGCCAGCACCGCAAGCGTTTCTGACCGCCACGGAACGGCTGTGAGCACAAACAGAACTTGCGACAATGTTTGGGAATCCTTCTAAGAGGCTATGGGAGACGCGAGGACTCGCAGCAGAAACTTCTAAGAGCTATCGGGATCCGAACGAGACCATCCAAGAATTCTAAACGCATCTAGTGGGATTCCATGGGGACTGCAGGAGGTCCTACCATGTTCGCATCTGTTCGCATGGTAGCTGCAAGGCATGAGCACCACCGGAGCATGCGAGCACCACAACCTGCCCGTAAGCGGTTTTCGGGCATTACCGTTACGGGAGGGGGTGAGGGGGGGAGGGGAGGGTAACGGGAAAGTGGCAACAACGCGGACCCGCTCTGGAAATCATGAGCCCCCAGATGCTGGTGGCATACATGAATGACACACACGCTTCTTGCGCCATCCCTCCGCCACCGTCCTTCAGCGGGGCCGCCGCCACTTTACTTCCGCTGGCTTCCGCCGACCTCGCGCCACCTTCGCCCAGAGAAGAGAAATCAAACCCATTGATGTCTCGAAGACGAGGCCTGGAACGCCCGGGGTCGAGAACCGAACCCACGGCTATGGTCGTGACGACACTGGCGCCAGCTTCTGACACCGAATGCGTCGTTCAACCGTGAAAGCGCGGATTTCCAATGATGCAAGTGCTTCGATACCGGCGGACTCCCGGCTGCTGGCGGCGTTCAAGCTTGAACACCTGCGATGGGGTCGCCGCCGCGTCGACGCAACGCGAACGCGCACAAGGGCACCGAAAGAGGGCCAGTCGAGATGCAAGACTGCGAGGGGCAGTGCTGCGGCGGCACGCTCGCATCGGTGCTCCGTGTCGGCACCTTGTTGGCAGGCAGCGTGTCCGCTGCAGTGTAGCACATCAGATCGTTGTCACCGTCCATCTCCTCCTCAATGCGCGATGAGCGACAGAACATTCGCACGCACCTCTTCAACTACGAAACTACAATGAAACCGGCGGAGTCCATACCCAGACATTCTCTGACAAGCTCCTGGAGCCATCGACCCACCCTGAGGGACCGGTTCTTCACCTCGGATCGTTTTCGACGGCCCACGGGCCCAAGGCGGATCTCCAGGTGCCCACCCCAGAAAAAAAACCACGCTATTTTCTGATTGGCGCCAGAAGTCGTGGGACGAGCGTCAGCTCGTGCAGGCACACCTCGAGCGAGGTCGTTGGCAATGATCCCAATCGCGGGCCCTTGCACACCTCCTCGGCACTTTCGTGACTGGCGCCTGGATAGCGAGCCTGGCCCGACACGGCCAGACGGAGACGACGCTGAAACAATCGAACGGGCAAGAAGAGAACGAGCGCTGCCCCAGCAGATAACCCTGATTGAGTATCGTGTTCTTGCCGCCAGAGCTGGCACAGCTCCCGTTAGCAAGCAGTCCTTCAGTAGAAGCTGCCAGGGGCACTCCACGGGTGCGCGCGGCACCACATGCCAAGCTCACCCGGGCAAAATAGGTAACCGACGTCCGACAACAATCGAATGTAACTGGCCAAACAACAAGTCGGTGAGCGAAACGGACTGGGGACTGCACTGGCACACCTGAATGCCAATGTCGAGTGAACGGGTGTAACTTTCCTTCATCGACTTGTCTGGGCGGGCATTCTCTCAATGCCCGATTCGTACTCCGTGTGTGACTGCAAGAATGCACCTGCGGAGGCCTTACACCGTGTGAGCCCATGCACGGAACCATGCATGCCCAAAGTACGGTGTACGTTTTCTCACATAATGGTAACCAAAGTCCTGATTGAGCAGATTCTGCTGCGCGCCGCTTGAGCCAAGCGGCAGCGATTAGACGCTCGCTTTGCTCGCCTTTCAACTCTGTGTGACGTCAAGGAACCAGAGGGAATGCCACGCATGAGGAGAAGGAGCGATGAGGACAAAGAGTAGCTACGTAGGCTGGAGGGAGGAGAAGCAAAGATGGATGGAGGAGAGAGAAGGACAACAAAGGGGAGGACGCGTTTGAAAGTGTTCGGCATCGGAGGACAGATAGTGAACACTGCGTTCCTTTTGAAACGCCCCTTGGGAGTCTTGGGGGCTTCTTGGGCCGTCTGAAGGCCATCCTGGAAAGTCTTGGGGCCCTCTGCGGACATCAGGGGGGCATCATTGGCCTTCTAACGCTTCTGGCGGTCCTATTTAAAGTGTCCAGTGGCGTTTGATCCTCCTCTTCGAGCGATCCATGGGTCACTCTTAGCTCCCAGGAGGGCGTGCCCTGTCTTTCAAAGCCCCAAGATAGTTTGAAGACAGCCCAGGAAGTCCTCAAGATGATCTCAAAATACCCTAACATGTTCATCAGACGCTCCCAGAGGCTCCCAAGAGATGCGCAAGAGGCTCCCAACAGGCCCCCAAGATACCCACGAGTGGACCCACAGAGGTCATCCCATGCTCCCCACACTGCTTCTACAACGGCGGGGGGAGCACGCAATCCAAACTTTTGCCCAAACTCTCCCCAACGATGAGACACACACACACACACACATGGGCGTTGCCCAAAAGGCAGGGGACGGCGGTGGCTCGCCGCAGGCGTCTTCGATCCGTCGCCCCCTGTTGCTCGCAAAAGGAGTGCTCGGCATGCCATGTTTTATACCACGGTTGGCCCCTCCAAGGGATTTCTGGTGGCTCTCCCAGCCCATCTGCCTCCACCGCACACAGCACCCAACATAAAGACAACTCGCCTCCAAGCCAGCCAGGAGACAGAGACAGGTACAGAGGGCCCGCGCGCAAGAGTCCACACGAGGGGACTAGGCGGGGTGGGGGCCGGAGCACTCCAGATACAATGTGGCGAAACACTGGAAGATTCAACTTCTGGCAAAAAGACAAGAATCCAGCCTCAAGGCGCTCCCGCCCAGCAGTTGAAGCGATACTGAACCATTCTGGATTGTTCGTGTACCTCACCATGTCATCCACCCACCGGTTCTTGGCCGGTCTTGTTTGCGATGGACAGAAACATCTAGAGACAATGACGGGTCCCAAGTCAGCGATTTGCGACCCCATTTCCATGGCTCCTCGGCCACTTTGGCAGCCCAGCGCCACTTCCTTTGTCGTTGTATGGTAACCTAATCCTGCATCCCGATTTGGTCCAGAACCCGTTCTGCTTCGTGGGTGGTTCTTTTGATCCACATATCCCAGGGTTCACTGACTGAGTCCGTAACCCAGCGGCGTGGTGGACGAATGATCATACGCAACGTATGCCTCTGAGTACGCTTGATTCGGTACGCTTGCTTCAATATGGCCCAATATGGCCCAACATGGCCAATATGGTCCTCAAGACAGGCCCAGAAGGCGCAAGATAGTCACAGGTGGCTTCCAAGATGGCACGAGGTTCCCAAGACGCCTCCAAGTTCGCCCCATATGCCTCCAAGACGGCCAAGAGGGCCTGGAGGGGGCCCGAGGCTTTCCAGGACAGGCTGAAGAAACCCACACTACATATTGTCTCAACCGTTTGCACGCTTGCCGGGTTCTCACCTTTTCGGGCTTCCGGCAGCCCCAGAAGGTCCAACAGCCTCAAATGAGGCGGCCAAAGATGCTGCAAACCGAAAGCTTCTACAACTGATCCGCCGCATTTGTTGCGCGACTGGAGTCCACACGTGGCGACGAGGGCGCCCCGGGAGGCGCCAACGATGCCCCAACAGCGCGCCGAAGGCCTCGATCCTCGCTGCGTCGCCTCGATGCCCCGATGCCGCGCTTCCTCGAGGGACTGGCAGTGCGGGCGGAGCCTTGGGCCCCAACGTCGCGACTTGTTCGCAACGTGACCTCCTCAGTCTCATCTCTCCTCCTCCTCCTCCTCCTCCTCCTCCTCCTCCTCCTCCTCCTCCTCCTTCTCTTTGCTCCTTCTATTGGCTCCTATCAGCTCCGCCGGTGTCCTCCTCCTCGTCCTTCTACTGGCTCCTTCTATTGGCTCCTATTAACTCCGCCGGTGTCCGTTAGCGCCGTGCGGTAAGGCGCCCAGAAAAAATAACAAACACACGCAAAACAAAAAAAGGGCTAAAGGCAAGTAAAGAAAAGGGGGAGGAGCTCAGGGGATGGGGCGGCGGAAGCCCACCCCACCTGCGAGCTCCACCTTAGCGGAATTGAACTCCCGAAGCTCGCTCCCGAGCTTGGGTCCACTCCGCTCCTGAGCTGACGCAAACTATCCACTGCATCTCGATTGCGAGAACCCTTACTGCACTCGTCCCCGTGGAAGCGGGAACAGGCGGAACCGAAAGCGCAGCAGCAGGAGCAACAGGCCAAGCCGCCCGTCCCCCACCCAACCGAAACACGGTGGCTCCTGTGAGCCGTCCTCGCAATCTACGGTGGGCCACCGCAAGGCACCAAAGCCATGTGAAACCTAGATCGCCCGCGCTCTGCGCAGGTCGCACAATTGTACTGCTTGCCCACCATATCAATGCAGTGCCCGTGCAGGTTCAGGAGTAAACGGGAGAGGCTTGGGCCTCCTAGGACTCTCAAACTTACTTTCGCAGCTGGGTCATCCATATCCATGACCTCCGTAATCAACCACGCCGACTGTTTGACCAGAACCAAGCGCGGTCTGGATGAGAGAGTTGGTGGGGTGGGCAAGGACCCCACGTTTAGTCAACACGTCGGCACGCTTGTCACACCTCCAGGCCCATTCACTAACACCTTGCCTACGGGCCTGGCCAAGGATTAGGCGAGACCCAACCCTACTCACGGACAACTCCTCTATCCCAATCATATCAGCACGCCTCAAGATCTCCTCCCAAAGCTCCGAGAACGCCACATCCTCGAGGTTCTGAGACGGCCCGACTCCCCAAATTTCCTCGACCATTGTGCAGTGCGTGATCAACTCTAGTCCCGCAGGGCCAGCCAGGCGTAACGCCATCAGGAAAGCAAGCACCTCCCCCGTTCCTGCCAAGTGAATGATGCGGAGCAAGCTCCGAATGCTGAGCCGATGCTGTGCCCGCTGCCGGAGGCTGCGACGAGCGCCCATCCTGCACGGGCACGGCACGGACACGCCCGATCGAAACCTAAAACGTCAACGCACCCTCTTCTGGCAAGCACTCCATTCGGTGGTGCGATGCCCCACTGGAAGCCTGCCTGCTGATATGGAGTCGGCCATGCCCACTCCGAACCTTAGGAAAAGCACCCTCGTGTGGAGCGCCATGGTGCACGCCTGCGCCGGTCTGTCCAGGAGGTCCTTGACATCAAGATCTCGAATTACAGGCTGGCGAGCTTGGCACCGGAAACAGTGGAGAGGCGTCTCCCTCTCGCACTGGCACAGCTGGCACCTCTTGTCTACCACCCTGCGATCCTGAAAGATAATGTCCTGGGTAGGATATACCCCCGCCACCACTTCAGCGAGACTTGCTGCCGCTTGCCCCCCGTCCATTAGCGCGCAAGCTCATTAGCACCTCGATCACGGGATCAAGCAAGGGCCCATCATCGAGACCTCCGACCCGACCGTCACCGAGCCCCAAGATCAGGTGCTCGCGAACAACCCTCTAGAACCATCTTGAGCGACCGGCCTCCCAGATATGTCACATCGATCTGCATACTAGCACGACTCACGCAGACATTCCAAGCTGTTGGTTCCAGGTCTGTTCTCAGCACGACCGCACCTGCTGGACATCTGACCTGGCTCCAGTCGAAGTCCAGAATGCTACCGAACCACTGGAAGATCTGCTGCATAACCTTGGGCTCCGCCCACTGGTGCCTGGCCACCTGGCCCCACATCAGGAGCGGAAGAATATTCGCATCATACGTGGGGTCAGCCTTGGGCTGTACACTGAGGAAGAACTCAATGGTCCTGCATCTGGCCTTAGGAGTGCCTATTACAGCCGCCACTCCTCCTCCTCCTCCTCCTCCTCCTCCTCCTCCTCCTCCTTATCCTGCCCGTCCCCCTTCTGCTCCCTCCCGTCGGCGAGGGAGCCTGGTCCCTTCCTCTCTCGACCGCGACCGCTCCCTGACACGGGCCCCCCGGCAGCCAGGCAGATGTGCGCAGGGAGAGTGTTACATCACTTCGGCCTCGCGTGGGAGGAGGTGGCCTCACTGGGACAGGCCGCCCGAGACGCGAGGGCTCAGGTGGCGTCGGCGAGGGCGAGGAGACACGTAGGCCCCGCCCCGACACGCCCGCCCCAACCTGTCTGGGGATCGCTCGTCCTTCTCCCAGTGCATTTGGTGGGGGCCGCCCCCCTTCGCAGCTCAAGCTGGTGTTAGGTCGGGCATGTCCTCCTACAGGTGGATTTTGGCCCAATAGCAATAAATAATAGTCAGACCGAATCAAGAACATAATGATAAAACAACAAATCACGAAGGATCGTCACCATAAAATGTGTGTTACTGTTATTGCATAGTATTCCTCCTGTCAAGGGACATGCCCGACTTAAAGTTCGTGCCCACCGACGGCCAGGGAGCACGACCTCGAGCCCGACCTTCTCCATCCTGACGTCGCCGATGCACCGCCGATGTATTGGCGACGATGCATCGGCGACGCGGTGCGATTACAGTAGGAGCTCGACCACAAGAAGAACCGTTCCACAAGAAACCCAACCCTGAGACCCCAGGAATCCCATTGATTGTTGGCATGGGGACGTCACTTTTTCCATAGTAGAAGCATCGAATCCCAAGACACCCAGGGCACCCTGGAGGCAATCAGGGTGTTTCTTGGCACGGGCTTCCAATGTAAGGTCACACCACTGAGGCTGCACGCACCCAGGATGCCCCAGCGCTCCCCCGCGCCGGGCGAAGATGGCGAGGAGAAGGGCAACCGACGACGGCCGCCGTCGTCGTCCCCCTCTTCCTCCTCCTCCTCCTCATCCTCCTCCTCCTCCTCCTGCTTCTCCTCCTCCTGCTCTCATCCTCCTGCTCCCCCTCCTCCTCCCCGTGCTCCTCATCCTTCTCCTCCTCCTCCTCCTCCTCAGCCTCTTCCTCCACCTCCTCCTCTCCCTCCTCCTCTCTCCTCCTCCTCCTCCTCCTCCTCCTCCTCCTCCTCCTCCTCCTCCTCCTCCTCCCCCTCCCTCTCCTCCTCCCGAGCCCTGATGGTCGCACTCGGCGCAGGAGCTGGGCGTGCAGGGGACCGTGTGCTCAGGCTCCCAGAGGCCGAGGGCGCCCCTTCCTGCACGGCTCCTGCTCCGCGGCACTCATCCCAAGCCGCTTTCTGACGGTCCTGGGGCTTTGGTGCGGGCCCCGAGGGAGGCCCGGAAATGATGGAATCTTCCGTCTCGAGTCCTCACGACGCGAAGAAGCTCGGGGGCCAAACATCTGCCCCCGGGCCTGTCCTGAGGCGCGTTCTGGGCAGAACTTTCGGGGGAACCCAGCAGCCGTGGCCACGAGGGCACACCAGGAGGCACAGAAACACGGGAACAACGCAACAAGCAGAACTACAACTCTTGCTTCGAGCTCTCTTCAACCGCGAACGCGAGGCGGGATATCCAGGGAACGCCAGCACACTTTGGGCCTGGCGGCTGCAGTACGCAACCGTCATTTATCGAAGACGCGAGGCTGGATTCCAACAGAGCACCGGCCCACGTTGGACCTGGCGGCCGCGGTATGCAGGGTGTGCGAGGCGGGTCGTGAACGCTTTTCTCAAAATCCAAAAACCCGACCTGTCAGGTGGGAAAAAAACGTAGATACGTTTGTCCCGAGGAGCGTTTCACGATGTAGCCTTCTAGGAAATGGCCACTCAGAAGACCAACAAGGGAGTCCCAGGACCCCGTTCCTGCACGCTTGCTGGGGTGACTTTTCGTCGAGCCTCGGACCTCGCCGTCGCCGTCGCCGTCGTCGGGCGGGGCGCGGGGGGGGGTCCTCGAGCAGCCCCGCTCTCAGCTGGCGTTTCTCCGACTGGCGGATAAAGCGGCTGTCGCTGCCGCCCTCGCCTGCCGGGGGGCGCGGAGGGCGAGGAGCCCCGCCGGAATAAGGCCGAGTAACAGATCCGGGCCTCAAAACTAGCGAGCAAGCATGCCATATCATCTGTCAATGCTCCCCCCTCCCCCCAACGATCAAAGTTGGCTGTGACTCTGATGAGTTGCACTTGGACCGCAAGTCTTCCCCGCGCGTGCCAACTTTGAACTTGAGGGGAGGGGGATTGTCCATTTGCCGAGTCCATGTGCCATCTAACGCGCAACAACAAATGTACTCGACGGGGGGGCCCCCACGGTTTTCCAGCTGATGGGAGGGGATCACCCCGCAGAGTGTGGGGAGAGACGATGCTGGACTGGAACACACACACACACATACACACCACTGCAGAAGAAAACGCAATGATATGTAAAACAATGCATGCCTGAGCTGATCCACGCGATGCGGGCTTCAACTATGCGTCACCGCACCAAGCACACTGCACAGGAGAAGTAGACAGGGATCCCCATGTGTGCCTACATTTTCAGGCGTTCCAGGCCTATGAGCGTTTGCGTATGACCGAGCAAGCTCGGGCGACTGAGCACGACTGAGTAGTCTTAATGCAAGCGAGTGCGGGGAGTATGCGTGGAGTCTCCCCTGGCGGCTCCCCCTGAGGTGGTCCAAATGCCAGTCGTGCTAGCTCGTGGTGATCATGTGGCTCTGAAGACAACATGGGGCATGGGGGTGCCCAGACAAGGGCTTTGCCTGAGGCCGCTCCACAATCCAGCCACGAACGGACACGTGTAACACCTTTTGTCGGCGCTCCCTTGGGATGGCCGCGAAGGGGCCCATGTAACACCCCCTGTCGGCTCCCCCCTGGAATGCCCAAATGCACCTCCTGCTGCATCGCTGTGATCAATGTGGCCCCCCTGGACCCACAGAAACACCCCAGGACTACTGAAGAGAGCCAAGAACACGTCCAAAACCTTCTGGGTCCTCGATCCTGCTCCCTCCTCCTTTATCCTCGATTCCCAAAAGGAGGCGGTGGCCCCACTGCTGGTGACCCCCCTTTGGCACTGCCCGAAGAAGGCCGCCCGAGCATCTGCCGGGGGCCGCCTCCCGCGAACACCGGGGCGGCGGCGCCCTCCTCGCTGCCGCCGCCGCCGCCATCGGCGGTCGTCGTCGCCGCCACCGTCGTGCTCGCCGTCGGCGATGGCGGCGGTCGTCGGCCGCCGTCGTCGGCCGCCGTCGCCCTCGCCGTCGCCCTCGCCGTCGGCGGCGGCGGTCGCCGTCGCCGTCGCCGTCGGTGGCGGTCGCCGTCGCCGTCGCCCTCGCCGCTGGCAGCGCCGTCGGCGGCGTCGCCGTCGCTGTCGTCGTCGCCGTCTACATCTCGGCGGAGGTCGCCTGCTCCGCCGGCCCCTCCCTCGCCGACCTGGGCGCGCCCCCAGGGGCTTCGCTTCGCCGCGCGGGGAGGTGGGCACAGAACTCCGGCTGCATCGGCGGCGACGGCGCCGGAGGCGATCACGACGGCGGCGGCGGCGACGATGGCGACAGCGGGGCGGCGACGGCGGCGGCGGCGACTGCATCTTCTTCGTCGTCGTCGTCGTCGTCGTCCTCCTCCTCCTCCTCCTCCTCCTCCTCCTCCTATTCCTTCTGCTCCTCATCCTTATCCTCCTGTTTTTGCTCGGAGGAGTAGACGAGGGGACTGGACGGGAGGAGAGGAGGGGATGGGGAGGAGGGGAGAAGAGGAGGGGATGGGAGGCAGGGAGGGAAGGGGCGCTGTTGAGGTACGAAGTTCACGGCGCGATGACGCTGGCATTGGTTTCTGACACCGCAAGGGTCGATCCGATATCGGCCGAGTCTGGGCCAATGGTGGCGTTCAACCCTGAACGCACGCGCTAGGGTCGCAGCCACGTCAACGCGGCACAAAAATACGACACTATCGTACAACATGGATGCGAGAGCAAATGCCGCACCACTAAGCCACCCCACTGCGCTGGGCCCAGGCCGACGACACGAATATGTCCCGATGTGGTGTCCTCTCTGAAAGACGGCATCCCAACCCACTACCCTAGCCCGCTCCCCGCACGCAATTCTGCCCCGATCTGGTGCCTACCTTAAGAAACAAGTGCGCCACCGCACTGCCCTGGCCCCGGGCCCATACCACAAATCTGTCTCGATCTAGCGTGGGAGATGGGGAGGGAGGAGGCGCACACGAAGCGGGCGGGCGGCGCCGGTGTTCTCTGTCGGCTCGAGAGCCCAGAGATCCGATGTCGAGATTTTTTCCATGCGCGGTCCCCGGAAGTCTCGACCCACTCCCCAGGACCAGTTTTTCATCCCGAGTCGTTTTTCGACGGTCCCGGGGCCCGGGGAGGGCCCCTCGAGGCCGAGACATGCGAAAAGCCTCCGTCTTGATTCTTTCAATGCGTTGGATCTCTGGGAGCGAGCGCCCGCGTGAGCGGCCGGGGCGCCTAGGCCAGCCTGTGGCCCTGGCCGGCGAAGGGCTCCACGCCGGGGGCCGGCTGCGCCGGCTGAGGCACCGTGCCGTAGGACGGGCCCCGGGCCAGCAGCGCGCCCTCCGCCGTGGGGAGGCTGTCCCGAGCGGCCGCGTGGCCCGCTCTCACCCCGGCGATGAAGAGCCCGCAGATGACAGGGGGCCACAGGCCGGCCCTGCCCCTACCCTTGAGTCGGGCGTCCCTGAAAAATAGAAACTACCCACAAAAAAGACCCCCAAATGGTCAGAAAACACTCCAAAAATTGTCCCCAGACTCATTTTTTGACTATTGTGAATATTCCCCCTGTAGAGGGACAGACCCGACTTAACCCTACCCCTACCCTCCACGATTTCTGAGGGGGAGGGTGGGGTTCGCATGTGGCCCCCTAGATGAGGCAGGGGATCAGCAGGAACCCGACGAAGCACCACCACGCGCAGCTGTACAGCTCGGCGCAGCCCACCGTCTCCTCGCTCTTCACCTGTTCAGGAGGAGGGCTACCAGCATGCGCAGACACCGTCGATGGTGAGGACATGTGATGTGGAATCCAGGGTCTGGAAGCTGGTGGAACACCCATTGAGGCTTGGCCATGGATATCACCGTCGTCCCACCAAATAAAGAATCCTCCAGGATCTGCAGCCTCCTGGGCACATTACGTACCGAACGCCCCCACCGTACAGGAGGTCCGCGTCGAATCCTTGGGTCGGATTCCTAGCGAGCGGAGCGCGCCGGGGGCGGTGCCGGAGGCGCCGCCAGGGGGGGCCAGCGCCGGTCCAAGAGATCCGCGTGGACCTCCAAAAGTGTATGTTTACGCGTATATTTCGTCTTCGAACCTTGAAGGCGACCACCCATATCCCCATCACCGCGATGAAGATCTTCAGCGTATGCGCCACGCCCTCCCCCAACTTTACCACCTGGAGGCAGCCCTCGATGCCACGGGTTCGGCCCGCGATCAGCAGCACGCCGTCCATCGCGATCATGAATATGGACAAGAACAACGACCAATTCGTGACCCAGAACAGCATCTCGCATGAGGGTGTCATACCGGACTTGTGCTCGCCGGTGAAGATGGACCCAGGGAATGAGGAAGAGTGGTGGCTGAGGGCGACTGCCTGCCACACCATCACCTCAGGCTCTGGCGGAAGTGCCCCTGGCTCTGGGCTCAGGGTGTCCCCTGCTCTTGCTCTTGGGCAGCTGAGCCTTCTGGGCCGCGCCACGGCAAACCGAAGGCCATCGAGGCTCTCCTGGCAGCCCTCTCTAGACTTCCGCCGCGTTGACTGTTATGATCCGTGGGCCCTGACCTGAATGTCGACCCCGTCCCTGTGGCAGTGCCGCATCCCTTCTTGATGGCCCCAGGGCCCGAAAACGCCCCCCCCCCCCCCCCAAGCCGAAAGGAGGGAGAAACGCCTGGACTCAAACGCTTAATCCGCCCGTCATGCTGGCTGGGGACACCCTGGGCCAAGACCACTTCTGCCGACGCCCGGTCACCATCGCCAGGAAACAGCCGCCAGAACCGCCAGAGTAGGCCGCCGTGCCCTCCTGCGCACTACCATCGCCGCCGCCCTCCTCGGCCGCACGCCAGTGGGACCCTGGTCCAGAGGGCCTTTGGGTGCGTGACCTACCGGTCACTGCGTGCGATGTGATAGCATACGGCCCGCGTGCCTAGGCTTGTTCCCCCGCGCCCCCCCCGAAAGCCCCCGCAAAGGGTCACTCTTACGGTACGTGTTCGACCATGGGCCGTCCCTCCTCCCTCCTCCTCCTCCTCCTCCTCCTCCTCCTCCTCCTCCTCCCTCCTCCTCCTCCTCCTCCTCCTCCCCCTCCTCTCCTACCTCCTCCTCCTCCTCCTCCTCCTCCTCCTCCTCCTCCTCCTCCTCCTCCTCCTTCCTCTCCTCCTCCTCCTCCTCCTCCTCCTCCTCCTCCTCCTCCTCCTCCTCCTCCTCCTCTCCTCCTCCTCCTCCTCCCTCCTCTCCTCCTCCTCCTCCTCCTCCTCCCTCCTCCTCCTCCCTCCTCCTCCTCCTCCTCCTCCTCCTCCTCCTCCTCCTCCTCCTCCTGTATGACGGCGTAATTCGGCCCAAAGGTACCCCCGTTCACGCCATTCATCGCCAGCGCAGTCACCCTCTGCCTAGCCGCCGACGCAAACGCTCGACCATGGGCAATGGGCCGCAGGCCCTTCATGAATGAACCATCGGCCTTGGGCGGTCTTCGGCGGTTTTCGCCAATCTTCTGCCGGTCTTGTGACGGTCTCTGGCGGTCTTCGGCGGCTCGCGGCGGTCTTCGGCAGCTTCCGGCGGCCCCTCGGCGCGAAAGCTGGATGGTTGCGTTCAGCCATGTGCCCATGTACTATGCTTCCCTACACGACCACCCTTCGGGTGATAAGGAAGTTGGTGGGTGGAGGAAAAGAACCAACTGACGACAGCAGCAATGGCTGTGATGATGACGATGCTGGTCATGCTGGCGATGACTCTCGATCTCAGCATCGATCTCACTACCAGTCTCAATATCGATCTCACCACGGGACATCACGGGACACCGACGGGACTCCGACGGGACACCCGCGGGACACCGACGGGACACCGACGGGACGCCACGGGACACCATCGGGACACCATCGGCACACCAATCGATCTCATGTTTGATCTCCCTATCGATCTCACTCGCTCGATCTCAACATCAATCTCACTCGATCGATTCCACGATCGATCCCACTATCGCTCTCACTACCGATATCACTATCGATATCACTATCGGGCTCACTAACGATCTCACCATCGATCTCAGCACGGGGCACCGACAGGACACCGACGGGACATCCGCGGGACACCGCGGGGACACTGACGGGACGCCTCGGGACACCATCGGGACACCAATCGATCCCACTTTCGATATCATATAGATCTCACCGTTGGTCTTACAATCGATTTCGCTTATTCGATCTCACTATCGATCTCACGATCGGCCTCACTTTGGACCTCGATCTCGATCTCACCATGGGACACCGACGGGACACCGACGGGACACCCGACGGGACAACAACGGGACACCGACGGGACACCGACGGAACACCGACGGGACACCAACAGGACACCGACGGGACAGCGACGGGACAGCGACGGGACAGCGACGGGACAACCACAGAACACCAACAAGACACCGACGGGACACCACAGCGGGACAACCCGGCCACCGCCCGCCCACCGCGGGGGAATGGCGGACAGCGACGGGACACCACGGCGGGACAACCCGGCCACCGCCCGCCCACAGGGGAGGGAGGAGGGGCGGTCAACGGCCGTTGACCCGCCCGAGCCGCAGCGGAGTCTTTCCTCTCGCCCGCCCACGCAGTTTCGCTTCGCCCGCCCGCACGACACGAACCCGAAACCGAAACCGATTTCCCAATGGGGAGCTCTCCGTTCAATTTCGATTGCAACCCCCAACCGCTGAAATATGATGGAAACCAATTCCAATCGAAGAACTAGCCCTTGCCAGCCCTCCGGCCAACCCTCTGGCCAACCCTGGCCAAGCCTCCTCGCCACCTCTCAGGCCAAGACCGAACCCAGCACATGCCCCCCGAATCGCCGACCGCAGCATTTCGATCTGAATCAAATCGGCCAAAAAATTCAGCCAGCACCCAACCCTGACACCCGCCGGCCCCAAAAACCCCGACATGTTCCCCAGGATCACTTTTTCATCCCGGATCCGCTTTTGATGGCCCAGGGCACGACGATGGCCCCCGAGGGCAGAAATCGAATAACCAAAAACTGGTCAAACAACTCAAGCCGCAAGAGAGATATGATAATGACGGTGGACAGGGGCACGGAGGGGGGTATGGGGAGGGGGGGAGGACAAGCTAGGTGCGCTCGCGTCATATCTAACGTCCTACCCCTCCCTCCCATCCCTTACCATGGCGAAGACCTCCTCTCTATTCGCACAATCGGATGTCGTAGCATGACATAGCATGCCATGGCATAGCATGGTGTTGAATATCAACGCGTAGCATGACATAGCATGGCGTGGCGACGCCTCAAAGTGGGGGGGAGCGCTTGCGCGGCCCAAAAATCAACCAATTGACACCGAATGTGTAATCCTATGTTTTTTTTCGGGAAGCCATTTTCTAGATGTTGGGGCTTATTTGGAAGGACCGGAAAACATGCCGTGGCATGGCACTGGAAATAATGACTCCATCGCTGCAGCGGGAGCATGATTCGGAATGAGCGGAAGCGCGGAAATGAAGCCAGCGCTGCAGCGGGAGCACGATTCGGAATGAGCCGAAGCGCGGAAATGAAGCCAGCGCTGCAGCTGGAGCACGATTCGGAACGAGCGGAAGCCGAAAATGAGGCCAGCGCAGCAGCGAGAGCAGCATTTTGAAAAAGCACCAGCGAAAACCCAACTCGCCGACATCCTGTGTGAAAAAAGGGGGCCGAACACTCCGAGACAGATTCCGCCACAGACTCAGGGGAGAGAGGAGAGTAGCATTCATATTAATAATAGTAATAGCAAAGGAACAGGAGGAGGATAATGAAGCGGAGGAGGAAAAAAAAAAAAAGGAGGTGGAGAAGGTGCTAAGAGGAGGAGGACGGGGAGGAGGAAGAAGAGGAGGAGGAGCAGGAA